TCCATTTTTTGTTTGTACAAAAATTCCCTCACTAAATTGCTTTTACATATAAAATTTGAAGGGAAATTACATAATTAAGTTATGAATTAATATACAACAAATATAATAATAATAGTAATAATTAACTTCATACGGTTCATTGTATTAATGAGATTAAAACTACAATGCATGGATCTATAATTCAAAGTCACACGATCCTAATGCAGTTCTTGGAATCAAGTTCTTATTAATATACCCTGCTAATCGACTCTGAAACTTCTAATATGTAATAATCTAAAATAAATGATTAAACACAAGAAACTCAAGGGTCTTAGTTAATGATTTGAGCGCCATTAAAATTCAATAAATTTGGTGTTTCTCTCAGTCTTTTCAAGTTATACCCTCTTGTGTTTCTCAATTTCTTAAGAGTTGGATCATGAAGCATGACCAAATTTACTTTTTTGTACGAACCCTTAAGTTTGTAGAACTCTTGTAATTTTTTGGTTTATCTCCCATATATTATAGCTATCATATATGATGCAACATTACATATATGAGTTCATATAATTAAATGGGATGCACATTTCTTGTATGCAGCAAATGAGGAACAAGAAAAAGAGAAACAGAGGATGAAGTGTGCACTGCAACAACATCGGAAACTATTTGAATAATATTGAGGGGAAGTTGCTGCCGCTGTTGGATAATTTGCTATTTGGCTTTGCTTCTTTTCAAAATGTAAGTAATTTCGTTACAAAATTAGTACCAAACTTTTAACGTTAAATATATGTTATATATTATTTTATATAAATTATTGTTTTATATGTTATTAATTGATGTTTATAATGTAAGGTATTGGTAATTGGTCTAATTATAGGTAGTCAGTACATCTTCCATGCTATACAAGGACAAGTGCAACATGAATAACTCAATAAGTATTTTAAATTTATAGAATATTTGAAGTTTATTTAATGTTATTGCCTTGCTGATACCAAAGTATTATACAAATCCGTGTGTGTATAGTATATTTAATGTTTAGACACCACTTATGAAATAAGAATATTTAATGTTAATGGTATTAACTAATTACTATATAATTTTAAATTTATAGAGCAAAATTCATTTTGCACCCCTGTACTATGTGAAATGCATTATTTACCCCTTCTCATATATGGAAAACATCCAACACCCCCTGCCGTTAGCCTTTTTCCTAATTTTCGTTAGTCAAACCCTTTTACGGACTATTACAAAGAAATGTTGGCTTTCTTTTTTTACGAAAATACCCCCAAAATTTTCTATATATAGGTTGCTTAATTTTGACAAATGTTCATCAGATTTTTTTCTTTCTTTAGCCCTTTTTTTCACTTTATTCAGTCATTTGTTTTTTACTATTTTCAGTCATTTTTTTTTAAGTCGAATAAATAAGAATGAAGCTTTGCATATTATGAATGTAAAACCCATAAAATGAAAGCTAAAAGCCCTAAATCTAAAAGAAACCCCAAAATTGGAAGAAAAAAAAACATATAAAAGAATTCCAAATTAAAATAAAGCTTTTCATATTATAATAGGAAAATCCCGCGAAAAAGAAAACTGAAAATCACTAAAGTCAAACAGTAAAATTGACAAAAATCCATAATTTGAAGGAACGCTAAAAATCATCAACAATCCACAAAAAATACGCTTAAAAATTAGGGATTATATAAGAAATAAAGCAGGGTAAAGAAGTCATTGCACCCTCAACTATAACACCGTTAAAAGTTTGACCATTGACCGTTAAAAATAGGAGGTATTTGATGTTCTCTATACATCATGGGGTAAATAATACCTTTCACATAGTACAGGGTGTGCAAAATGAATATTACCCTCATTTATAATCAAATAGTGAACACCAATCAAATATTCCGAGAAATAGATAAACTTATAACATTCAATGAACCTTTTTTTTTTCTTAGACTATAAAAAACAAATATTATATGAAGGCCAGTAATGGAAATATATATATAATAATCTACGAACGAAAATGTGATAGAGTTCCAAAACATAAAAAAAAAGTATCTGCAAGAAAAAAGAAAAACTAAAATGAAAAAGAAAAAGAAAGAAAACTAATAAGTATAAGAAGAAGCAAAGTAAATAAATTTTTTTACTGATAACCATGAGCACATCAAATTTTGGAAAAACATAGAAAAAAAGTACCCAAATTATAAAGATATAATAAAATAAAATATAGATTATTAGACTTATGAATGAAAATATAAATAGAATGTATGAGTCTAAACATATTCCAATCTTAGATTTAGAGGGTGTTTGGCTAATTTTATGTTATTAAAAATAGCTTATAAGACATATAAGACTATAAACTCTTCTAAAATGTTGGGTAATTTAGAAATAATCTAAGAAAAAATCAAAAAATAAGCGGCTAAAGAACAAATAAGATTTTAATTTTTTTTTAGCTCTACATCACCTTTTTATTTAAGATATTATATCGAGTAAAAATAGCTTATAAGAAGATCATTATCCAAACACTTTCAAAATTAATTCAAGAAATAAGGCGTAACAACATCATCAGCTTTTAGAAGGTGTTTGACCAATCTTTTAAGTTGTTAAAAGGAACTTATATATGTTTAAGAGCTTATAAGCTCTTCGAAAGTGTTTGTTAATTTTTTTTTAAAAAATCTTAAAAATTAAAAAAAAATAAGCTATTCGTGAGCAAATAAGTTTTTTTTAAGTACCGCTAACCCACTTTTTTATTTAAGATCTTATAATGAGTAAAAATTGCTTATAAGCTCATCATCCAAGCACTTTAATAATTGCAAAAGTAAGACGTAACAACTTATCAGCTCTCAAAATAGTTTATCAGATGTAAGAGCTTATCTGTTGTTTAAAATAAACTTAGCCAAACAGGCCCTTAAAACAATTTATCAAAAACAATATAAGCAAAAAAAACTCATAATAAATTAACTCAAGACGTGCATCGCAATTCCACCTTCCTAGTATACAAAAAATGTATTGATATATACAAATCGAGTGATGGATTGTAAATAAGAGAACAAAAACACACTACCGTTATACCTCAAATTAACCTTAATCGACTAATGAACGCTTTCGATTACGGGTCCAGCCTACGCGAATTTTCTCCGCCCATGCCGTCCTCTGTCCGATCTAACCAAAAAAGCCTAAATCTGTCTCTCCATCATCACCACACCGTCGCCCAACCACACCATCACCATTCTCTCCACCATCACCATTCCACACCATCAATATTGTATTCAATATTGTATTATCCATTTTCATCTTTGGACGACCACCCAAGAGAAAGAGGGTCAAAACCACCACTAGCGCCTCCCTTCTGTCGCCGCCATGGTCCGACGATCGGAAACCCAAAACTACGCTCGAAAATGAAGGCCTTAAAAAGCATGACCACTAGCACCTCTCTTCTGCCGCCGCCACGGACCCACGGGTCTGACAACCAAAAACCACGTTCGAAAAGGAAGGCCTAAAAAACCACCACCGCCACCACCTCTTTCTATTCTGCAGTTCGTCTGTCGGAGATCCAGAAATACAACCACCCAAAAGAAATGTGGTCAAAACCACCACTAGCGCCCTCCTCTTCTACCGCCGCCAAGAAAAAGAGCAGGGGCGGAACAAGGATTTTTCGATAGGGGGCCTAAAATTTTAAAGAGTTAATAAAAATATAGCGGGGGTTCAGTGACAACGCTCCTGAAATTTTTTAGGGATATTTATGAAGAAAAACAACACAAATAAGTAATGAGATATATATATTGTTGTCAAAACAATATTCATAAACTTATATAAAATAAATTGTAATATATGATACATTTAGTTGAATGAGTAAAAGTGTTTTGAAAAAAAAATCTTAAAATACATTGAAATTCGATGGATTGAAAACTTTAGACATTGAGAAGGAAAAAAAAAAAAAATACTTTCTTATTTATGTTATATTATTTTTTTTTATCGTAAGTTTTAATAGAGATTACGGATTGAAATTGTGAAAAATATTTATAGAATTATTTATAATAGAAAGTTAAATTTAAAAGGTGAAAATAATAATATATTTTTTAATGTGGGCCATATATAAATATTCGTAAATAAAAAATCAACATATAATAATAGATATAAGTTAATACACGAATCAATTACTAATTATTTGTGTATATATTTTCATATAATTATTTGTATATATATAATAGTAGTAAGAAGAAGAGAAGAGAATGAGAAGGATTTTTCAGATGGAGATAAAGAGAAAGGAGAGAAGAAGCATAACAAATTTGAGAAGTTAGGATTAGAGAACGTGAAGACAATTAATCTCATTAAGAGTAGTATTGATATTAAATGTCTACAAATTAGTTACAATATAACCCAAAAGGGTTTATCCAAATTATTATTTTAAGGAAGGTCTACCGCATGATTTTTTTAAATGAGCCGGAAGGGTGACTTCTTGCCTAGCTGATGGAGTAATTAGAAGAGGACAGTTCAACGTCAATAACTCTTCGAGTTCGAACTTTCGTGCGAATAGTTTCTAAGTTTAATTCATTCTATATAGAATCCGTCCAATATAATTTACACCTCTCGTATAATAAAAAGAATTATTGTATGAGCGCGCAATTTATCTGGTTTACATATTTCAGTTGCCCTTGTACGATTAATACCAGTCTAACCTTTCGACAAACTAGTAAGCCAATAATATTTCATCATTGTCCCCACAACTTCAACAGATGTTTCTTTAACAATAAAACAAACATAATAAAAACAACATTCATTCACATAGACGATTCCTGCAACTTGATATCCTTATTATATATACGTTATATATATACACCCCATAATCAAACAGCCCTGGATAAGGTTTAACACACTACTAGAAAAGAGTTCATCATTATTTTACAATCCCACATCTCATATATCGTTTATTTTTATTTCATTTATTATTTTTATTATTATTATTATTTTATCATGTAAAGCCATATTAAATATTAATATATGACCAATACGAAGTTCCAAGATTCTAAAAAAAAAAAATAGTTTATTTGCATTAATTAATGAAGATTGAGGGTAACAAACATAATAAGTTACAAAAAGGAGTCTTCTCCTCTCTTTATCAAATGTCACAAAAGAAAAAAACCTACAACCACAGATGTTTGGGTGGGATTATTCTTCCTTCGCTCCGGGTTACTTATTTTCGGGTGAATTCTCTCATCACCTCACTACATATACATAACAAACATTTGACCGACTGACTGAAAAAATAACTCGGCAACTATTTGTTCATACCTTAATATATATACATTACTAAACAATCCATTCCTCTCCAAAAAAATCTTCTCTTGGTTCTGTTATTGCTACTACTCACACCTTGGTTGTCGAAATTTGAGTTGTAAGTGTATCTATGCTACGGCAGAGAGGCTATAATTGAACCCTTCAATCCTCACTGTAGCGGGCTTAGGCCCAAAGTTGGCCGGAACATATCCTCCAATTTTGCAAGTGGATGATGACTGTGCATCGCCATTGTCATTGCCAAACTGCTCATCTTGTATTATGGGGTTAGATGCTCTGCTTGGTGGTGAACCAATCAAAAATGGCAGAGATGAACCCACCTTATAATTCGACCTCGGAGAACCATACCCCCCCTGAATCATTTTCAAAATAAAACTCTATTATCTCAAATGAAACGATTCATGCAAATTGTAATGAATATCCTGGAAATCTAAAATAAACGTTATGTTTGAAGAAGCTTTTCATTCTCGTTTCTCTTCTCATATATGCATGTAAGCATTTAGTGTTTGCAGAGCACCTGGATTCATTTCCAAAGTTGACAACTGAAAATTCTCGTACCCAAAATGATTTTACTTCATTGCTACATCGAAATATTTATTCGTTAAAATACAAATAAAAACTAGTTTATATCAAAAAATTTATTTCTTTCCTCTAAAATACTTTCGGACAGATTTGACTCTTCAGTATCAAGTGTTCCATGCAAATCAAAATACCAAAAAACATTACCTTTTTCCTCATTATCCCAACTCACAAAATAAAATGCAAATTGATTCAAAAAAGATTTTAACATGTAGCAGAAGCTTACATAATAGGCATCTTTATGCCATTGACACGACACCAACTGCTCACCCCGACTACTCGAGGGCAATCACTGTCGATGTAACTGATTCGAGCAATGGCCGATAGGGTACTGGTTTTGCTAGGTGAAGAATTAATCATTTTTAGGAGCAGAAAAGGGCAAGGTTGGAATTTTGGGTAAAAGACAGTTCATTTTTCTGAATTTCTGATAAAAATCTACTCTCAGAATCCACATTCGCTCTTGTTCAACTACAGAAAGGTTTGTCTCGTGAATTCCATGACAAGAGCCCAACATTTTACATGAATCATCAGTTAAACAAAACGAATTACTAAACCAACTTCTAAAATTATCACCAGTACAAGTCGAACAGCGAAACACAACGAGAAAAAAGGAAACTCGAAAATGGCCTACCCTCTCGATAAATGTTTTTAATTCCTACCCATTTACAAGCAGCTAAACAATAATATCATAAATCAACTAATAATTCACTTACAAAAAAAAAAAAAACAAAAAAAACTCAAAGTAGAAAAGCAGAAATGGGAAGTAGATGAGTAATAAAATGAAAGAAGAAAACATAAAAACAGAATACCTTCATTCGAATAATATCAAGAAGCTCAGTTCCAGCTTTCGCATCATACGCCTCTGCTGATTGATTGCTATTGTAACCAAAAAATGACATGAAACTCATCAAAATTTCAACAGTATATTTGGAAAAATATTAGAGAGAGAGAGAGAGAGAGAGAGTGATACTTGAAGTGAAGCAAGCGCGAGGTAGGTTTGATGGGTTCATGAAAGAGTGGTAGGCCAATTCTACGAGGCTTGGGGCAAACGACGCCGTCTGCAACACAGCCCCCCACAAAGGCCTTTTGTTGATACGACGCCCACCTGTTCATTTTCTCGCCTTTCTTGCTTCTCAACACAGATCCAAACCCTGATATAGAATAAAGGGAAAAACCATCAATCAGATCACTACGAAAACAGTCAAATTCGTTCATTTAAACGGTATTAAAAGGAGCCCAAAAATGGGTAAAGTAACATGAGAGAGAGAGAGAGAGAGAGAGAGAGAGAGAGAGAGGTGAACTGACCTGGATTATTATTATTATGGAGTTGATGGATCTTCTCTTCCAGACGTGGAAGAGGAATAGCAAGAGAAGGTTTTGGGAGCAGGAAAGAGAGATTTTCAGATTATTCATAGGCGGAACAAGAGAGAGAGATAGAAAACATGCTATGCACGTGCTCTTACTCCGTACAATCTTCGTATAACATTTTAGGCTTAGTTCGGGACCGGATTTCTGGAGAAATCGCGATTTTTGTTATTGGGATTTCGAAATTTGGGATAGAAATTTTAAATTTTAATCCCGTTCTATACTATTAAATCCCGATATATTTTAATAGGCAAATCGGATGTCATAAGATGATTGACACGTGGATAGTTTAAATAAAAATATAAGATTCTAATAATTGGAAGAAAAAAAGAAAAAGAAAAAGAAAATCCAGCATAACCCGTAACCCCTCTAACCCTAATTATAATAGTGTGAGTTATTAAGAGTTATGACTTAAGAATGCCGCATGTCAAAAATTAGTGAAATCCGATTTATATTAAATATCGGCTGATCCACTCAGAATTTAATCTCAAGTAAGAAATATTTCACTTTTTTCCATTATTATTATTTTATACGATTACCCGAATTGAATACATTATATACATACTATTGTTCTTGCACTATCTATTTTTACAACGAAACTCGGAACAAACAAAATTTAAAAATTTAAAAATAAGTTGAAACGATATATTATATTGTATTCCTCATCTCCTTGACACTATATATAAATTATAGATGCAATCTACCATAGAAAAAAAAATTAAACAACCATTTTTTTTCTTTCACACAAAGTTAGAATACTCAACTCACGAGCACACCACACAAAAAATAAAAAAAAATATAAAAAGAAAATGATTGTCTAAACAATATATATATATATATATATATATATATATATATATATATATATATATATATATATATATATATATATATATTGATGATGCTAAAGTTAGATCACCTTAGATAGTTGAAGTAGGATGAGCTGGAAGAGCAGAGTGGATCACTGGCTCGCGAGCTTGATGACCTTGAGATACCTGCGATCACAGAACACGTAAACTAGGTCGGGGGTTGATCCGGCGGAAACCCCTCCGACACTCAAGTCAGACGTGCGGATAGTGGAAATAGTCCAGAGAATACATTTAATAGTATTACTCAGATAATATGACGTACCTTAAAGAATGAGTTCAAACCTTTATTTATAGCTTAGTTGAGATTGTCGGGCCCAAACCTTACTTGAAGGTGATTGGGCCTCGGTGATAGTAGTCTTCGATATTGGGCTCGTGGCCCAGTAGGTAAATAATTTGTAGGCCCATTGGGTTGGACCAATTAGGCATATCGTTAAGCCCCCCACTCTCGAGTCGATGTGGGGGCCATGTTGAAATGGGTGTCAGATCGTATCGAGAGTAAAAATTGTAGAAGTCGATGGCGTATGGCCTAATGGTGTGCGAAAACTCGTTAGAGTGTGTGTCGGAGGGGCGTGAAGGCGCGTTGGCGCGTAGCGCGACCAAGCTGTCGCGATATAAGTTACTTGAGTCGTCGGTGTTGTCCCGCGGCGATGTAGTAGCTCGGATCAAGTTATCTCCTCGTGGGAGTTGTCTCTTCGTGGGGTAATAGATTTGATCGAGTTTGCTCCTCGTGGGAGTTATCTCGCGATAATGTAGTAGCACGGAGCGAGTATTCTCCTCGTGGGAGTTGTTATTTATCGACATTGTCAATGTTTTGACGCGTTGCTTGGTATGTGTTTACATATAGCCTGGAGCGTGATGTACTTGAGGAGGGGATCAGGCTCTCAAGATTTTTTATGGGGATTGTGCCCCTTGTTAGACCTCGTGGGTCGTAAGTATTTTTTGGACCGTGGCCACGTTTTTAATGAATGACCCATAAAAAACAAGTAGATAAATTTTGAGTAATCAAGCTGGCCAGGCTATCTAGATTCCCATAATATCTCTAAGTGTTTCTAGGGTAATCGTGTTAACTTGAGCTTGCGATTATATAGTGAATTTCGGGCGAGTTGTCTCCTCATGGGAGTTGTCTCACAGCGAAGTTATAGGAGCATTGGACGCGTGACTGGGGAGCATGCGGATTCATGTCGCTCTGAGCGAGTAGTCTCCTTGTTGGAGTTGTCTCGCATCGAGTCTTATTACCGAGCGAGGTAGCTCCTCGTGGGTGTTGCCTTGCAACGAGTTCGTAGTGCCGAGTGATTTGGCTCCTCGTGGGAGTTGTCTCGCTGCGGGTTGGTAGTACCGAGCGAGTTGTCTCGCTGCGGGTTGGTAGTACCGAGCGAGTTGTCTCGCTGTGGGTTGGTAGTACCGAGCGAGTTGTCTCCTCGTGGGAGTTGTCTCGTTGTGGGTTGTAGGACCGAGCGAGTTGTCTCCTCGTGGGAGTTATCTCGCTGTGGGTTGTAGGACCGAGCGAGTTGTCTCCTCGTGGGAGTTGTCTCGCTGTGTGTTGTAGGACAGAGCGAGTTGTCTCCTCGTGGGAGTTGTCTCGTTGTGTGTTGTAGGACAGAGCGAGTTGTCTCCTCGTGGGAGTTGTCTCGCTGCGGGTTGTAGGACCGAGCGAGTTGTCTCCTCGTGGGAGTTGTCTCGCTGCGGGTTGTAGGACCGAGCGAGTTGTCTCCTCGTGAGAGTTGTCTCGCTGCTGGTTGCAGGACTGAGCGAGTTGTCTCCTCGTGGGAGTTGTCTCGCTGCGGGTTGTAGTACTGAGCGAGTTGGCTCCTCGTGGGAGTTATCTCGTTGTGGTTTCCTAGACCCGAGGGAGTTGGCTCCTCGTGGGAGTTGCCTCGCAATGGGTTATAGGACGGAGCGAGTGGTCTCCTCGTGGGAGTTGTCCCGCTTTGGGTAGTAGTTCCGAGCGAGTTGGCTCCTCGTGGGAGTTGTCTCGCAAGCCCCCCACTCTCGAGACGATGTGGGAGCCATGTCGAAAAGGGTACCGGATCGTGTCGAGAGTAGATCGGTGTTGTAGTCTTGCGTTAATCGTTGGCAGGGCGTGGAGAAATAATATTTTTTTATTTATCCATTTGATAGCGAGCGCAATTTGGTAGGCGCGTTAAAGAGCTCGCGCAATTTGGTGGAGCACGTTGAAATTCTCTTCCGATTTGGTGAAGCGCGTCAAAATCTACGCGCAATTTGATGGAGAGTAGTAAAAGTTGCATGCGATCTGATGGGAGCGCACGCTCCAAGGTGGCCTTGGGAAGGCGCACGCGCGTGCATGGGAAGGCACGCGCAGGTGTTGCCCCCCAGGCGCGTGTGAGCACCCGCTTCGCAATATTTTTTTTTTTGGCGGCTGGCCACGCGCGCGTGGCATGCACGCGCTCTTCTCTTACTTTTTTTTTTTTTTTTTTTTTTTGGCAGCTGGCCACGCACACGCGCGTGCTGTGTACACGCGCGTGATGTGCACGCGCTCTTCTCTCATTTTTTCTTTTCTTTTTTTTTTTTTTTTTCTTTTTGGATAGAGGCGCGCGCGCGGCTTGGCGCGCGGTCGGCTTGGCTGCATTTTTTTTTTTCGGTGGTTGATGTTCACCCCTTTGGGGATGTTCTATTTTTTGAGTAGGGAGATTATACTCGTCTCTTGAGATGAGATGTGCACCCACTTGGGGTTGAAAGGTAAGGGTGATGCCAACCTTGGGATGGGATAGCCCCGCACTTTAGGATGAGGCGCTCGAGACCTATGGTCTGAGGTGGATGCGCACGGTTGTGCCATTGCTTCTGTGGCAACACGAGTTGAAACTTTCGCGGTCATACGCTGAAGGTCTTTATCGGTTATCTGAACCGTTAGAGGAGCAAGTAGAAGTTGATCTTGTTGAAGGTTCGGCGATCATACGCTGAATGTCCTCTTCGGTTACCTGAACCGTTCGAGGGGGGATGGAGGTAGGCCCCCATTGAGTCGATAACCCATGGCGAACGAAATGTTTTGGGGGCACTGTAAACCCCCAGGGAGTCGATAACCCTTGGCGAACGAAATATTTTGGGGGCACTATAAACCACCAGGGAGTCGATAACCCTTGGCGAACGAAATGTTGTAGGGGCACTGTAAACCCCCAGGGAGTCGAAAACCCTTGGCGAACAAAATATTTTGGGGGCACTATAAACCCCGAGGGAGTCGATAACCCTTGGCGAACGAAATATTTTGGGGTCAGATGTAAGCGCCCAGGGAGTCGATAACCCTTGCTAGCGTTGAATGGCCTCCTCGATTGTCTGAACCGATTGAGGGGCGGGAAGAAGTGAATCCTGTTGAGGATCAAGTGGGACATCACGAGGAGGATCTCGTGGTGGATCCCGAACACGGGGAGGAGGAAGTGGCAAGCCAGAGCCTCCACGAGATGGGAGGTTGTTAACAGTGTCACACTCCCCTAAGCAGATGTCTCAAGGCCATCATGTGCGCTACGTGATTGTGTTTGCCTTCCCACAGACGGCGCCAAAATGATGATGCTAAAGTTAGATCACATTAGATAGTTGAAGTAGGATGAGCTGGAAGAGTAGAGTGGATCACTGGCTCACGAGCTTGATGACCTTGAGATACCTGCGATCACAGAACACGTAAATTAGGCCGGGGGTTGATCTGGCGGAAACCCCTCCGAGGCTCAAGTCAGACGTGCGGATAGTGGAAATAGTCCAGAGAATACATTTAATAGTATTGCTCAGATAATAGGACGTACCTTAAAGAATGAGTTCAAACCTTTATTTATAGCTTAGTTGAGATTGTCGGGCCCAAACCTTACTTGAAGGTGATTGAGCCTCGGTGATAGTGGTCTTCGATATTGGGCTCGTGGCCCAGTAGGTAAATAATTTGTAGGCCCATTGGGTTAGACCAATTAGGCATATCATATATATATATATATATATATATATATATATATATATATATATATATATATATATATATATATATATATATATATATATATATATATATATATATATATATATATATATATATATATATATGTGTGTGTGTTTATTAATTTTTTCTTTCTTTTTTTTCTAATTCGGGATTAAAATATCCCGATCGGGATTGAACCAATTCCCGAATCCTCATTCCGTATTTATTGCTAATCCCGATCCCGGATCCCGTAATTCTGAATTCCCGAAGTTTTAGTCATAAATAGTAAAAT